CCCGCTACCGAATGTGCCCATAGGTTCAGCGTTCGAAGAAACCTTTGCATCAATCAAGAGATCATTCTTGTCGGAGAAGGCATTAGGCTCGCTCTGCTCTCTCGGAGAATGTCGCCTTTTGCTATCCAAATCAGTGATAGGCGTACAGTTGCGACGACCTTTGTGCAAGTCGGCCGGCCTAATAGGAGATGAGACTAAGGGTGAGACAGGGGCCTGTGGGGTTTCTGCATGATCCAGACTTGCAATAACATTAAGCAAATCCTGATTCAAAGATACAGATTCAGCACATTTGCGATTACTCCGACAACGAACAGATATATCGAGGTCGACGCTGTTATCGGAAGCTACATCAGGGGAAGAGCTCAAATCCCTGCGGAGAAGATGAGCCTTCTTGAGCTTGTGCGATCGTGTCTGTCTGTCTGACTTTTCGGTCCTGAGCCGCTTACTAGCAGATACCTCATGGGCGGCCATGTCCACTGACTCAATACCCAATTTGTGAGATCGACTTCGTGATGATCGACCAGAGACGCTGACTTCAGAACCAGTGGCCAAGGAAGGTTGGTTCGAACGGGCTGATGACAAAGACTGTGCTGTTGCCGATCTACGGACAGGTGAGGTAGTGGATCGTATGGACTCTTGGATGTCCCGTCCTGCAGCCGAAACAAGGCGAGCGTCAACATGCAGCTCAAGTAAGTCGCCAAGCCGACAGAACCAACCCAAGCAAGGAAGCTTAAGAGTGCGAAATTCTGACGCGGAACTTTGGCAATTCTTGATCGCCTGCTGGTTGAGATTGAGCAGTTGGGGCGTCACGTGTTGTTGGACGGCAGAGAACTTCTCGTTCATTAACGCCTCCTAAGTAAGAAAGAATGAGCATGTAAATAAGGTTAAAAAAGAAGAAGCTAAGAAGCTAGTTATCGTAAGCTCTGAAATGTGGAAGAAAGTTTACATAGTTTTAACGTTTATTTTATTTATTAACAGATCATGGCACAAAATCAATGCTAAATGTACAATTGAATGCATGTGAACACTAAATATTTTAATCAGTGAGACTGATAATATCTCTCCATTCTATCCATGATTATACATTTCATTTTTTTATCGAAAGTATGTAGACCAAGATGGTGTGGCCTTTTGTGTGATCGCAGTCTCCTTTCGTTGCTGTGACGATGATACCTTGCTCTGATGATGCTCGTCAAAAGCCAATCGACAGCTGGTCAAGAGGAATCCGTCGTTGTCTTCTGGTGGAACCGACCCTCGAATCTCTTCACCCAAGACTTTCACTCGAAATGGAAGTAAGCTGAACAATGCCTGAATTAAGCCAAGACTTTGGCGAATGCGACATCATGTTGGATGATGCCCTCAAGAGTCGGAGAAGGACTTCGGCGCTGAGATAAACCGACTTCTGCTTGGCCGAGACCGCCTCCGAGGCGCAAAGTAGCCTCGCTCTCTCCAAATCCGCCGGCAAGACGACACTCGGACTGTATCGTCGCAGAAGGTACTCCATCTCCGACGTGAATGGAATCGGACGCATGTGCGCACTCCTTGCCCCCCAAAAGGTTACAGACGGTCCATCTGGTCTCGTCGTCAACTGGATCGGCTTAGGAACACTTACCTCACTTCGAGTTAACAGAGCATTCTGCCTAAATCCCACAGAGGCAAGCGAGCGTAGGCTGAGAGCAAACAGATGCCTGGAAAAAACTGTTTCAGACAGACTCTGGAATCGGCAACGCGGATAGGTTCGTTAGGAGGAAAAATTAAATAATTCACAGTTTCACCTGCCTAATGACGGTACTTTCGAAGGCTTAACAAGTAAAATGCAGCGGCACTTTTTCTCTAAATGCAACTAAGCCAAAGTCGCAAACCCCAAAGGGCAAATTGGTCTATTGTATTGCTGGAGCAAGAGGTGAAAAAAACTACTTGTTCCGATCAGCCCAAATGATGGTGACTATGAATAGTATTATTATTTTAAGAAATGAGATTAACAAATATCTGCAGCTTTGTAAAGAGATACATGCTGAAGCAAAACGCAATCTATTTAAAGGTAAAACGTGAGTTTTTCGTTATTGAGTAGATTTTCGAGACTATCAGTTAATCACATATATGAGTTGGGTTCACCCTATTTCGTTTAAGGTGGTGACTGGTAGTAGAATTTTCACACAATGATATGAGTAGAGCTGACGTTTCCACTCAATTTCGCATATTCTTGTTTGCCCAAAAGGTATTCTTACCCAGGCTGGAGTGAAGTGCAGTTTTCACCTCGCATAGCTCCTAACAACTCTACTAATAGCATTGTGGGAAAATTCAACTACCAGTCCTTCATCACCTTAAACGAAATAGTTGTTTGACCTTGTTTTCGCAACATGGTCATATTGGTAGGAAGACTTAGAGGTAGGCACCTAGTCCGGAGTCCATTGTCTGTATGATCATTTCCAAAGTTGGGCCGTGGACGTGGTACATTCCCAAACGTTTAGCCGGCATCGTCAGTGAGTATCGCCATTCTTAGCACCATA